GTTTCTGCTGAGAAGTCTGCTGATCGCTTGATGGGATTTCCTTTTTAAGTGATTTTTTTCTCTTCCTGTCTGCTTTCAGTACTCTCTCATTGTCCTTGATCTTTGCCATTTTAATCATTACATGTCTTGATGTTTTCTTCCTAGGGATTCTTGTGTTGGGAGATCTCTGCACTTCCATGATCTAAGTGACTATTTCCTTCCCCAGTCTGAGGAAGTTTTCAACAATTATTTCCTCAAAGATACTTTGTATCCCTTTCTCTCTCTTCTTCTTCTTATGGAGCCTTTATAATACAAATATTGTTGTATTTGGGTTGGTCACACAGCTCTCTCATTATTCTTTCATTCCCAGAGATGCTTTTTTCTGTGTCTCAGCTTCTTTGTTTTCCTGTTCTCTAATTTCTATTGCATTTTCTGTCTTGTCTACCTCATCTAATTGACGTTTAAATCCCTCCATTCTATGTTTCACTTCAGGCACTGTATTTTCCAAAATTTCTATCTCTTTGTGGAAGTCCTCCCTGAGATCTTGAATACTTTGGTGTAGCCTGTGAGTATGTTTATGATTTTTATTTTGAAATCTTTATCAAGAAGATTTCAGTTTCAATAAGCCCTCTTTCTGACATTTTTTCTTGTAATTTTGTTTGGACCAAATTCCTTTGCTGCTTCATTTCTTTAGCGTTTGCTGTGGAATGATAATTTTTTGTAGGCATCCCTCTATAGTGCCCAGAAGGTCTACTTTCTGGAGCTGCTATGCACTTTCAGCAATGGCAGGGCTTGCAGGCAAATGAAACTGGTGCCTGCTGGGAGGAAAGAGCTTAACTCAGAGGGTTTTCTACCTTCCCTGACTCCACTGTCAGGCTCAATGTGCCACATGTGCAGGGAGGAGCCTCTGTGCTACACTCCTGTAGTTGCCATGGGCAGGGCCACCCTCCGGCTGACCTGGCATGATGGCAGGGGTGGCAGGTGAGTGGGACTGGTACCTGCCTGGAGGAAGGAGCAGCAGGCTGTGAACTGCAGTGGGGGGTCTTTGGGGCTGCAGTTGCCAGCCAGGAGGATGGAGTGTCTGAAGCTCCTAAGAGGACTGGCGGGCTTAGCATGCCAGGAAGGTTTGTCTCCCTGCCCTTTCTATTGAGCAGCGAGCTCTGTGTAATCTTTGCACCTTTAGTGCCCCTCTTTTGCTGCTTGGAAGTATTTCAAACTGCCCACTGTTCTTTTGTTCCACAGGGGGCCAGTTGTGTGTACCTGTTCTCCACAAGCAGCTGGGATCTCAGGCTCTCTGAGTACTCCACCTATCTTCGCTTTCCAACCTCACTAGCCCCCAGAGCATCATGTAATGTGCATTCATGCTTCTGGAGTAGATCTCCCGGTCTGGGTGTTCAGCAGTTCTTGGATTCTACTGCCTCCCTGCTCCTGTCTCTTCCTCCTGCCTATGGGCAGAGGTAGGAGGAGGGCTTGGGTCCCCCAGGATTGTGGCTTTGTTACTTTACCATTTTCTGTGAGGTCTTCTCATTTTCCCCAGATATTGGCAGTATGTTCTGCAGTCTTCAGATCTCTTTTTCAGAATTGGTTGAATTTGCTGTATTTTCATGCTTTATGTGATTTTGGGAGAAGATTTCTGCCTCACCTCTCATGCTGCCATCTTTTTTCTGGTCCCCATGTTTATAATTTTCTATTAAAATCTATATATTCATTCTACTCAATTTTTTTTTCTGGTCAATCCCCACTGGAATATAAATTCCATGAGGGCACAGATCCTTGCATTTTTTTTTCTTTTTTTGCTACTATGGTATCTTGTACACCCAAAACAGTGTCTGGTGACTCAATTAACATTCTTTTTCATGTAAAAGAGCTCCTACAGGGTAAATAATTTAAAGCTGTTGAGTCCATGTGCATGTTATTTCAACTTTACCATATATATTGAAATTGCTTTTTAAGATGAGTCTACCAGTTTATACACCCATCAGCTGTATGTGAAAGTGTAGTTTTTTACATTCTTACCACCAAATATTATTGAAACACTGTGACATTTTGCTGATATGGGTATGAAGTGGCTTAAAATTTATGTTTCCTGATTAATAATGAGGTTAGGATTTCTACATATATTTATCAGCCACTTGAAATTTTGCATCTATGAAATGCCTCTGCATATTCCTCATGAGTTGTTTGATTGCTGGCTTTTTTCTTATTTTCAGAAGTGCATTATATTTTCTGGGTATTGATCCTTCTTGATCATATGGGTTGCAAATATCTTCTGTCAGTCTTTTGTTTGTTGTTCCCACTGGTTTCTGTTTGTTTTGATGTAGCTTTAAATTTTAATTATTTCAAATTTATTAATTTTTCCCTACACAATTTGGGCCGTTTATGCATTTTAAACAAAATTTTGCTTTACTTGAGCATAAAGAATTGTTCCTGATTTTCTTCTAAAAGTGTAGAAGATTTGCCTTTTAAGTTTTTAAACTATTGTAATTAATTTTTATGCATGTGTTCATTTTTTTTCCATCTGGATATCAAAATATCACAGCACCATTTGTCAATATACACTTATATACCTACCTATCTTCATCTGTATTTATTCTATAAATAAATCTGTAGATATTGGGACCATGAGTTCACACTGACACATTCAATTCAAATCCAATACTACTGGATTCATTTTGGCCTTTCTCTTTTCCATGTTTAACCTGGCCCCCAATATCTTAATTATGTTCACTTATCTGATTAATCCTTCCAAGTCTTGCTTTCCTCAGTTTGGATTATACATTAAATCGTATGATTGGTGAAGCTTAAATAGGATCTGTGGAATAGACGGTAGTGATATATCAGTGTCAATTTTTCTTCCATAGCTCCACCTCCTCATCCATGTGAACATTCTGTTCATTCTACTTGGGCTCCAAACTCACTCTGGGCTGGGCTGCCTCTTCCTCTCCTACTTCCTTTGGCTCCACTCCACTTGAAGGGTTTTGGACTGAATCATTCAGGAAAGAAGGAAGGTAGAATTTTGTTTAATTACAAAGAAAATTACCATGGAAATTTTAAAACATATAAAAAGAGACTACTACAGTGAACTCCCCTATGCTTCTTGCCCAGCTTCAGCAAGTATCATCTTTGTGCCACTTTGTTTGTTTCTCTATTGCTTTCTGAGTATTTTAAAGCAGATCCAGACATATCAGTTTACCCACAAGTACAAGTACTTCATATGAATGAACAGGTGAGGACATTTTTGTTAATATAACCATAGTATCATTATGGCAACTAAGTTGATAGAATTCCTAATGCCTTTGTGTTGTAGTTTTCCAAGTTGTTGCAAATCAATATTTTCACAGCTGTTTTGTTCTGATCAGGGTCTAGAAAAGTTTTACCATTGCATTTGGTTGGTATATCTATTCAGTCTCTTTTAATCTATGATGGTTCCCTCTCCTCCCCTGCCTTTTCAAAAAATGGCATTTATTTGTTGAAGAACCAACATCTTCTGCACTATAAAATATCTCACATTCTGGATTTGGCTGATTGTTTTGAGTGTCATTTGACTCATTAATTCTCAAATTCATTTGCATATGGAAATCACCTAGCAAATTTTTAAAGTTATTCATGCCTGAATTCCACCCTCCAACATTCTGATTTAATTGATCTTGGTTGTAGCCAAAATATCAGGTTGTTTTAAAAGCTCCCAAATGATTCTTAGGTGCTGTGGTGTTAACCTGCTTCTGTAGTTCACTTACACAGGTATTAGGCTGTAGAAACTTAGATTCAGTTTCACTTATTTTGCCAACAACACATCATGGCAGTACTTTGAAGCTCCTATGGCGGCTCATCAAGATAATATTATTTCTAGTAATTTTCATTTGTAACAGCCTTTGTACCTCTCCTTCAGTTCTATCCCTTCCTTGTTATCATTTAAACTGCAGATATACTACGAAACAAAATTCAGAAAGGTACCAATATGGTATTTTTCAACTTAATAAACTTGCATTCCACCAAGTAAAAAAGGAGACTTACTGACGTCTCAGTCCAGCAAAATAACTTTGCAGTCACCTCTGGCTCAAAATCCAGTCCTGCCTAGTTCAAAGGAACCTCAGGGCTGCCTTGCATTTTAGGATAGGTCTAGCTTATTACAGGTGAGGCAGTGCTCTAAGCCCAAAACACAGAAAACTCACCCAATACTATCCCTATCTACTAGTACTATGCCCATTTACAGATTGGGAAAGTCAGTCACAGAGAAGTTAAGTAATTTACCAAGGTTACCCTGCTTATAAGTAGTAAATCCAGGATTATGAACCCAAGTAACTTGGCATGAGTCAAACGGTGGATCTAACCAAGTTGAAAGAAAGCAGGAGAGAATAGGGTCTTTGAAAAACAGGACCAGCGAGTGTCTGGAAGTGGGAACCAGTGTAAGCCTGGTTGCCTGAGAGGATATGAAAAATGGAAAGTGGTAACTGGTGGAGGGTTGGGGAACCTCTAGTTAACTTTTGCAGGAACGATTTCAATGGCTTTGTTGGCAGTTTGCTGCTTACAATGTTAAGACTGAATGGATGCTGGGGACTAGAGTCAGAGATAGGAGGGCTTTCTTTCAGGTAGTTGGGAAGGAAACAGTGGCAGCTGGAGGGGGGTCAATCAGTAGGGGCCGCCAATACTCTCTCCAAGCAAGTGTTTAGTGATGTGTTTTGCTTCTTTGATGTTTCTCAGAGAAACAGGTCCTTCTGCTCAGAACCCCAAGGGCTCTGAGGAGCCTTGGTTTCATTTTAATTTTAGTGTCAGTTTTATGCAAACTGTTGAGAGGATATCCAACTTACATGAGAGGATTGGGGGCCACAGCAGCATCCTGACAGGATGTAAAGATATAGTCTTATTTCTGATGATACAGATCCTGTCATCCTTTCTCTCCTTCCCCTAACTGCCTCCCCTGAGTGGAGATAAGGACCTGGTTGCTAATGGGTTAACTCGGGGACTACTACCGAGAGGCGCTTCCTAGAGAGCCCAGGAAGTGGCACAGATTGCCACGGAAGCTTCCTGTGCCCCAGCCTCAATTTTTCTCCAGCCGCTGGAAGGTGTTCATTTTCCACCAGGACGTTATTTGGGGGTACTTACTGTAGGATTCAGGGTGGGTGCCGATAAGGACGCTGCTAAGGCACGGGCTGCAGGAAGAAGTCTGTGCAGCTGCGCTCCAGGGATGTCTAGCGCCCCTGGGCACGAGGAAGGGACCACTTACATGTGTTAGTGGCTAATAGTTATTTCCCACCTGTCAAAGATTTTGCAGAAACACAGCTCCCAGCTGCAGTGAGACCCAAGTACTGCCTGGACCAGGATGGCTAGAGAATCGAAGGAAAGCGCAGCCTTGTACTCCCAATCTGCAGACGACCGGACGGGGATTCTGATGGTGAAGGTGGAGCAGGAGGAAGCCTCCGCCTTGTCTGCAGAAGCGGGACCACTCGGCAGCTCCACTCCATGCTCCGAGCGCTTCCGCCAGCACTTCCGGGGATTCCGCTACCCGGAGGCTGAGGGGCCCCGCCAGGCGCTGAGCCGCCTCCGGGAGCTCTGCCAACTATGGCTGCGGCCCGAGATGCACAGCAAGGAACAGATCCTGGAGCTGTTGGTGCTGGAGCAGTTCCTGACCATCCTGCCCGGGGAGCTGCAGAGCTGGGTGCGGGAGCAGCATCCAGACAACGGGGAGGAGGTGGTGGTGCTCTTGGAGTGTTTGGAGAGGCAGCTGGCTGAGCCCATGCCGCAGGTAGAGAAAACAGGTTTAGTACCTGCTTCTTCCAGAAATCTCAGGATCCGAGTGAGAGGCATTTCTTTAAAACCCAGAAGTTCTCAATTTCTTTTTGTTCCATAAACGACTTTGGCAGTAAGATTAAGTTCCTGAACCCCTTCTCATATTAGTATTTTTAAATATATATAAAGGATTACAAAAGAATTCGATTATATGAATACGTAGCTAGCAAAACATGAAACAAATCTGTGATGAAATTATATATGTGCTTTTTAATTAATGATTCAGTAATAAGACCTAGGGATAAACCTAATACCTGGCAATTTAGAAGTTGTTATAAGCATGAGTGACTTTGACAATATTTGCCTGGTAGTAATGTGATGTGAAAATATTTGCAATTTCTATCAAAGGCAGTTTCTTCAATACTGCTTATAACACCTTGGTTTTGTTGCCGTTCATAACTGAAGGAAATTTTGCTTAGAGGCTAGTAAAAATAAAATTATTTTTCCTATTCACATTCATGGAATACTTGGAAAGGAATCCATGGACAAGTCAGGGAGCCCTGGATTTATTTTCATTTGCACCTTCCTGCTTGTCCTATGAGACTGTTTTTCCTTTGCATGATCCTATGTTCTTGTGCATTCCTTTCAGGGACCAGAGTAAAGCCTTCTAACTGGTAACCAGGAGGCCACGGTTCTTGAGTTGACACTAGTGTCCATTAGTCCTATAACAGTGAAAAATCGCTTCAGGTTTCAGTTTCAACTTTATGTTGTGGATGTGGGAAATTCTAAGCTACACAGGAGTTAATGATCATGTAAGTGACTTGAAAACTAATTCATTATAAATGTCCAGAAGGAAGCCTACATTTAATGAAGACATGCGATATACCAGGCCCAGTGTTAGGTGATTTCACATACTGTTATCCTGTTTGCTGGTCTCCCAAACCCTATAAGGTAGAAATTTTTATCCTCATTTTTCAGTTAAGAAAAGATACTAGTATTCTGAGAACTTAGCACCAATTCCCAGAGTTTTCATTAAATTAAAACACATTTCATTCACTAAGGCACAAATGAATATAAATGTGTATAATGAGGAAGCACACACAAATGCTTAAAGCAGGGTCTCTGGAGCCATTCTGCCAGAGCTCCCATCCCAGCACTGTGACCGATTAGCTGGTGACATTGGGAAAGTTGCTTAGTACTGTGCCTCAGTTTCCCCAGTATAAAAACATGGATAATAGTATTTAGCTCATAGGGTTGTTATCTATAGTGAGTTAATATTCATAGAGCTCTTAAAAATAGTGCCTGGGAAATAAAAAGTAGTGCACATAGAAAGCATAATAGAAGTGTTTCATGAATAAATACTCTAATGGCTTCTAGCTCCCAGGTGGAGAACAGGGGCAAGAACTGCTCTGTTGCAAGGTGGCAGTGTTGACACCAGCTCAGAGGTGACAAGGTACCCCAGTTCCAGCTGATGAAGGCTTTGCTCAAGCGTGAATCTCTAGGACTGCAGTCCTTAACAGACAGAGGTGAGGATTACTTCTGTGCCATATGAATTCTGCAGAGGTCAGTCAATTTAATTTAGGGATCACCTAAAAGACATCTATAGACAGGTGCTTTATATGTCCATCACAGATCTACTTTGAGACTGAGACTGAAGGGGAAATTTCAAACAGTGTTAGAAAGCTTTCCTAACCAAACCTGGGCATAGTAAATAAGATGTTATTAAAATTGCCATTTGTAAATAATTGACATTTTCCACAACACAGAAATCTCCATTCATTTAACATATATTTATGAAGACCCTCTATATAGTAGCCAGTGCTGTAGGCACCAGGGATAAGACTGTCAGTAAGACGGATTTCTTGCTCCAGTGGAGCTTACATTCTAGGACAGAAGATAGCAAATGAATTAACAATACAATTTTAGATATTGGTAACTGCTATGAAGAATATCAGGTAGAATACGTACAGCCAGCCAGAATATTCCACAGGTTATAAGACTGCTGCAAGTCAGAGTATAAATCTTCCAAATCCTTGATCTACAACTACAACAGGGTGAAAAAAATCCCTCAGTAAGAAACTACTCTATGTTCCTGGGTGATCCTCATGTGTTGTGAACACTTGGGCATATTCCAAAGACACACAGACACACAACCCTGGACACGTCAGCCAACATGCAGTCCTTATTTCTTAACAGAGGTTTAGCCTCAACTAGTTTACTGCCCCTTGTGAAGTTTACTCCTTATAGGAAGACCTGAATTTTCCCTTTACTTCTCTTGAATGTGAACAAGACTGTATAAGCAGACTTCTGTTTCTTCCTTTCTGGGCCCAACCTGATCTGACTCCTCTTAGTTTTTTTTTTTTTTTTTTTTTTT